TTATTATTATTATTATTATTATTATTATTATTATTATTATTATTATTCCACACGTACTTCTTATCATTTGTGGAAATAGAATTTCTGTAGACCCATGAAAATAGTTACAAAAATTGTTATACAAAGAGAATCTGCATAGGAGCATAGGAATGACTGTAATATTCACAGCATATCAATAGAAATTGGGCAATTGCTTTGCATCGATTAATTGATCAGCGAATTGATCAATACTGTTCTTTGAATCTATTATGTGTCATCAATATTATAATTATCATAGCCACTGTTTTATGATAGTTCTCTTCTATTTTCTGTGATTGATTTAAATTGGTATCGAGAGGTAGAAAGAAAACTTGCTTTCAGGTCCCTTGCATGTTGGGTGCCACAGAGCTTGACACTTCCACTTCTGTTCACATGAAAATGCTGGATGAGATCATCTTCCAGTTTGATGTCACATGTCATCAATATGTACTGCATGCAGATGATGCCCAGTTGCATGTCTTGACCCCGGTTCGTTGAGTTAGTGAGCCATTGTTTGGAATGTTTGGAGGCTTTAGGCCTGGATGGGGAAGAACAGCCTCAGGCTCAATCCTACCAAGTTTCTATATTTGTGCCATCATTGCTGACTCTCCACTTCTGATGCTCCATGTAGTTGTAATTACCCATTTGAGATATGTGCAATTTAGCAGTCCTCTTGAACTCTCAATTCTCAAACAGCAGGTGGAAGCTGTGGTTAACAAGACTTTGGGGTTGTTATTGAAGAACATCCAGAAGCTACAGCCACTCTAGAATGTGACAGCACATGCAATGAAGGAGTATTATATTTGCAAGTTGCACTGGTTGCTACTAGGCTTCAGAGTACAATCCAAGCTGGTGGTATACGAACCCTAACCTTTACAGTCTTTCAAGGCATGAAGCTAGGCTACCTAAGAGACTACCTATGTCTATCATCTTTTCCCATATGATTGAGCCCAGCAGGATGGGCGTACTGCAAGTCCCCTCAATTAAACACTACAACCTTGTAAAATCCAGGAATTGTGCCTAATCTGTTTCATTTCCTGCTCTTTAGAATGATCCTCCCTCTCCAAGTGAGTTGTTAGTTACCACCCATATATTGTTCAATAAATTACTGAAGAACTAGTTAGTTTCCAAGCCTTTGAAGACAGGTGATTGTATTGTCCTTTTGCTTTGTTTTGAATAAAATAAATTATCATCATTATCAGATATCTACACAGCTAAATATGGTGATGGAGGAATGGTGAGTTCAGGAATTGAAGAAACAACAGGACTTGGAGTAACAAAAGGCTACGGAACTACACTGGGTTATGGGACAACCGGAGGCTATGGGACAACCGCAGGCTATGGGACAATGGGACGGAAAGATACATACGGAGGAATAAAAGAATACCGAGAAAGTGGTGTGAATATGGCTTTCTTAGACAGCTACTTCTCTGAGGTAAAGCATTTTATACTGTACCTAGCAAACTATAGAGAATGGCAGTAAGTTATTATTAGAAATATTTGCTTAGGTTATGTTCAGATTTATGAACACAAGCCTAAACTATATTATGCCAAGTAATGGTAGTGATGCAAAGTGCTCATAACTTGTAGTATTTGAAATTCCTTGGTGCAAAATTTGGACTGCCTTTCCACAATAGGAAGTAAAATGCAAATTATCCATGTTATGAAATGTACAGCACTTTGAATTCAGTTTGAAACAACCAATATAACTGAAATCCAGCTTAATCACCCTGCTTTTAGATAACTTTTTTAGAGAACATTTTATAGTCTTTCTCCTGTTAGTGATAAACAATGCTAATTCTGTCTTGTTTATTTATTTTTAGAAAGCATTTGCCTATGCTGATGAAGATGAAGGCAGACCTGCAAATGACTGTCTCTTAATATATGATCATGAGGGCATAGGCACTCCTGTTGGTTCCATTGGCTGTTGCAGTTTTATTGGGGATGATCTGGACGAGTCCTATTTGGATACACTGGGTCCTAAATTTAAGACCTTGGCAGAGATCTGCTTGGGAAGAGAGATTGAGTCCTTCCCAGATTTCAATATGCCTCTGCCCAATCCTGATATTGAGATAAATCTTCCACCACCTGGAACCACGATTGTTGTTAACACATCTTCATCTATGCCTCAACCTTCTGCTGTTGGTGGTACCACGGTCGTTACAGAAAATACTTACACCACCACTTCCAATGTACAACCTCCAAGGCCAATGCCTGATCCTATGCTCCATGGTAACGTAGTTGTAACAGAAACATATACTTCAGGCTCAACAATGAAACCCCCTACACTTAATGTTGATCCTCTGACTGGATCAAATGTTGTGGTCAGGGAAAGAGTGCTGGCTCCTGCCCCAGTCACTGATTTGCATGGCATGATAGAGATTCCCGACCTACCAGGTGGGTCAAATGTTGTGGTCACAGAAAGAGTAATTGCTCCTAATACAAGGTTACCATCTTCTTTGAGCATTCCTAATCTGACAGAAGGGTCAAATGTAGTTGTGACCGAAAGAGTGATTCGACCTGCTGCTAGTGTACATGGCAACATGACCCTCCCTTCTGACATATCAAGTGCCCGTAATGTGGTTGTAACCGAAAGAGTTCTGTCTGGAACAGGAGCAAGTGGTGTCTCTGGGAGTCTAAGTAGTGGCGCTAATTCATTGTTGGCTTCTGATAATCTTCTTAGTCAGGCAATTGGAACAGCTTCTCCTGGTTCAACTCGAAGAAGGGTAACAAAATACAGCACTATACAGTATTCTAATTAGTAAAGATCACTTGTGACATCTTTCCCTTCCCCCTTTTTATGTTTTAGATTTGCTGCTAAATAATGTTTTTATTATTTATAGGTAGCAAATTAAAAATCAGAGAAATGATTCTTGTCTGAAACAGAATCTCCAAACATTTAGTTATAAACCAAAATATAGGGGCACTGCCAACATAAGAAAATTCTGATATATTGCCTTTGGAAACATGATAGTGTACATAATGGAGCAATCACTAACAGAGCCTTTTGTATATGTTTGCTGATGAGCAATATTTGGACCAACATACCACTTCCTCTTTGTACTTATTAACACCATGGTAAGGAAATGCAGCTGTGCACAAAGTGATTTATAGGAACTATTAAAATTCTGGAATTCCTTACTGTATTTTAAAACAGTTGCATAGAGACTGTTCCAAATAATGATCCGATAAATTCAGCATAGTTTAGTTTCATCTTAAAGCAGTTAGTCAACATAAGCTAAAAGACAAAAAGGTGTCAACAGAAAAAATAACGGCATATATTAAATCTGTATCTCTGAACAAGACTATGTGAATTACAATCAGTACAGCAGTCCTTAAGAATGACAATATTCTGCTGTAACAATAGAAATGTACAGGATATTAACAGATTTAGGCAGCATATCATGTATTGTGAAAGTATTTGTGAGTGGACAAATACTCATTTGTGCTTCATTTAAATTTCCATTTCAATCATATAGCAAAAAAAAAAAAAAAAACCAACAGCAGTAACAACCACTTTTCTCTGATAAAAGTGCTATAAAAGTGCTATATGTGATTTAAATAGAAAATTGAATACCAAAATATTCTTCTCCCAAGAAAATAAAGACACAAGGTCCCTCTACATGTTTAAATCCCAAATGTTCAGCTATTGAAATAAAGTATAGGCTTCAAAATCCAAAAAGCTATTTTAGGCTTAGAATTGACAGGAAAGTGGTAGAAATTTAGATCTATTCATTTCTCAACAGCAAATCACAATTCAATATTGCTGGTTATTCTCTCTATTGATATAGGATTGTGAAATTTTTTTAAAAAAAATTGTTGTTTCCATTCTCAAATAAAAGACTTCAGATGACTTCCCATCAGTTTTTAACAATTTAATTGTAACAAAACCCTGCTGTTTCAGAGCAACAGCTCATAACCATGTTTGGTATGAAAAAGAAACACAGTTCTTTAGAACCTGACCTTCACAATTTAGTTATGTACCATATGTAAACTAAAACTAGCTCCAATATAGAGAATACACTCCAATGTACATATAGTTGTTAAACGCAGGGAATTTTGGCCACCAGATTATAGTAAGCTATCCCCTTTATCTTTTATGTACACCAGGGGTGTCAAACTGGCAGCCTGCAGGCCAAATGTGTCACACACAGGCCAAGCCTACCCCAGCTCCGTGAAGGGAAAAAAACGTCATGAGACATCAACATGACACCACAAGTTTGACACACATGATGTACAGTTTTTTTTAGTTTTGGTATAGAATTCTATAGAAAAGTAAGGATATGGGTTTTTATCTCTGCTCCTGGTATTTTCTTTCTTGTCTTTAATTTTCTTCCCAATTTAACATGCATGTTGACTACTAAATAAGATGTAAATACAAGAGCAATTTCTAATACAACTAGCAACTTGATCTAGTATTCACAGTTGATTTTTCTTTTGCAGAAAGCTTCCCCTTCAGCTCTTTTTTCTACAGACAAAAATATGGCAATGTATTTTTGTCTTTATATCTTTTTTAAAATCTGCCCAAAGCAACTTGAAACCTTGCAAAATATTTGCATTGTGCATATGTATACTGTAATTTTTCCCAAATAATCCTGGAAATCATACTTTCAAATATAAGACATCTTTCACTTACTTCCCCTAATTACTAACCTAATTATGTCTTGTAATCATTTAATGAGACATTAACCATTATGTAATTATTTAATGCCACACCTATTTTGTTATATGCAGAAATCACCCCAGTTGCTACTGTATTTTTGCATAGTTCAAGTATGAGGAGTTTTATACCTGTAGAAAATGAACGCCCATTTTAATTAAAATCTCTATTTTATTCTTGAGCTCAGGCAGCATGCATGACACTTCCAGGTGTGTAGAAAAGGGACAAAGCTGGTATTGCCATGCTGTAACGCTGTTTGTGTTGTTTGATTCCTTGTTCTCCCTAGGAACATTGCTGCTTGAGTTTGATTTGGTTATTGTAATACAGGGTAAAAACAAGGCTATTAAGTAGTCATTTGAATTCCTCTGTTAAAGGGAACACTATTTAACTGTACCCATGACAATATGTTGAACAATCTGAAGAACTGCTGCAACCCTGGGGACTAAGAAAGGGAAAACTGTATTATTTGACTTTGTAAGCTAAAACCCATGGCAAATGTTTCTCCACAGCAGGAATCATAACATCTATTGATAAATAGTGTTCTACGAATATATTTCACATTCACATTTTATAAAAGGCTTGTCAACACATGCATTAATGAAGTTGTACTTCTTACAACATATCCAGTGAGCTAAAATATGACATCATAATATTACAAGGCTGTATTTGAAATCATTTTTTAATTATTTGTATTCTTTATTTCTGAATTTATGTCATAGGATACAAGCAACTCCAATTAAAGCGTTTTTTAATGGACATCCTTCTAGGAAATAATTGTTTTTAACTGCACTGACTCTCTTTATAAATTTAGTACTGGGGAAAAAATGTAGGCTTTTTTGTTTTCCAACCAGAAACAAGTCTGTCATTCAAGTCAAGATATCTAAATCCTTTCTAAGTATAAGCTCCCATTGCTGGTTTTGGGTATGCTTGCTTTTCAGAAAGAATGTTTCCTCTAGGAATGAAATGTCACAGCTGAGAGATTATAATAGATTGGCAAACGATCTGAAATTTGAAGATGTAATATAATATTAATAAAATGTCTGGGCAAATTTCTCTTTATTCTTTTAATGTTTATTTATTACTGAACATGATGTAGAACTCTTTAGGCTGAAATCTGAAGGACATAAGGGACAACACGGTATTCACTCTTCATACCAACCATTTGACAGTCCGGACTAGTAAATGGCATTTTTTAAAAACATACTGTTGAATCATACCAACCTTCTTGTTTTTCTATTAACAATTAAGCAAAAGATCTTAATTCCTTTGCTTTTTTTCAAAGTAGTGTTGCATAACTATTTCTTAAATGAAACTAACAATACAATCCGTTGGAAAATCTCCTAAACTAGATAACAATTGCAAGCATGTTCTCTCTGAAGGAACATAGGTCATCTAGAAGGAAGCATCTGCCATCAATCTTTAGCAGCAATGAATAAGGAAGACTGGTAAGAATTTCAGTGTGAAATATCAAGCTTTTATCTTATATGCCTGCTTAGAAAAAGCTAAGTGATTCAATCCTAAATGTCAGGTAATATAATAGTCTTTTTTCTTTAAATATAACTCTCAATCTTTGCTTCAATGATACCGTACCATAGCAGCTGGGTAGGGTGTTGCTATTTATGTGACTCAACTGAGCTAACCTGACAACTTTTCAGAATTGTTTTTATACTGTAAAAGCCAGGTTAAACCCTACATAAATATTCTGTGTATCCAGCATTGGTCCAATCACTCCGCAAAATAAAAGCAGATATCTCAGATGTTTAAAGAGATGCTATAGCATTTAATTGCCAATCTGTTCAGCTTCCTCAGATAGAATGGGATGGGTGTCCTTTTGCTTCCTCTAGCACAGCAGTCTTATTTATGTATTCTGCACGTGAAGAAAGTTGGGATCCCATCCCACTTTCTTTCACTACTTGACTGCGACAGTTGCAAATATGTATGGTCTACACAATCCAATATATATTGTCCCTAAAATGGAAGCCAAAATTTTCCAGAGTATTTTAAAATGCTATGTATACTATCTGGAGCATATTAGAGGAAGGGCAGGATATAAACATGACAATAATTTAATGGATTTGGAAAATATGCATTGTGACATTCATTTCTATGAAACTAAAGAGATGATCTTCAACACAGAAAACCAGGATCTTCTGGGGTAAGAGTAGCTGAGCTTTATTGTACTTCATTGTACATATTTTTAGTAGGTGTCCTCTGGGCATAAGAAGGTATTACCAAAAATGTGTTTTTTGCAGTTGTTGTTTTTCCCTAATCCAGGGAAGCTTCCTCAGAAATGAAGATTTATTTGCAGCATTTATAGATTGAGTGGAATTTGAATAGAGCTTCTGGGGAAAAAATTAAGTGACTAATGGATGAAAATGATGCCAACTCTGTTATACAACACCTAAAAACGTTGCTCTTCCTAAGATCTAATCCAAAACACAAATCAGTTGTGTTAATTACTAATTTTCATCCCAAAAAACCACCCCCCAAAAGAAAGTGTATTTCAGATATCCAATACCTGCTCAGGAATCATATTCACCATATATATGTAGAAAGGGAACACACATTCATTTCTAGACATGTTCATGTTAAATTAAATGATGGCAAGTTGCAAACTCAAGTTTATGGAAGTCCACCCACCTAGACTGAATCTTAAACTTCTATAGCAATTAATACACAAATACAAGAGATCAGCTATGTAAGATCCATCAGCAATAGAGCAAAAACACTTTGCAGATCAGCAGCTCTTATAAAAGACCTCAACTACCTTCACAGCATATCCAGTAAGAACAGGTCCATCTCCACCTCAGCAATTCATAAAAAAAAATAAACCACGAAACAAAACAGGATTTCTGAAGCCACCAGGTGTCACACCCCTGAAAAACTCTAGAAAGAATCTTGGGTAAGCCAAAGACTACAATCTCTGCCAACATCACACAGAACTTCAACTGTCTGGGTTGCAACCAATGCTACATAGAACAGGGCACTATTTATATCAAAGAATCACTGAATACATACCTGCAACAACGATCTAAAATCACAAGGACTAAAGTCACTCGCCTCCACAGAATGAACCACACATTTGACTGGGAAAATAAAGAAAGTGTTGACCAGAGAAGCATCAGAAGAGCCAGAGAATTTCTGGAATACTGGCATGCAAATAAAGGAATTCTCCAGAAATCAATGGAAATGATTCAATCTACCATCCAGTCAAGCATCCAATTCAAACCATACCCAAAAAATAACATGAACATTAGTCAAAATAAGAGCCATATCACCAAGCAACTGATACCTCCCAGGAAGTCTCCAAACACTGGCCAATCCTACAAAAAAAAAGAAAAGAAGTTACTTCAAGATAGAACTTTTCAACTTCAACATTGATCTCTTTAACATGGGAGAACACCAACTAAAAAGTATGGATAAAGAAGGCACCTACCCTTTTTCTTTACTAAGAACTACTTACTTTTGGGATCTGCATAGGGCTCACACGGAAGTGTAGGCATTTTTCTTGAGTAAATTTCAGCTGTAATTTCCCGTAAGGAGAAGTAATGAGTTCACGGATTACACACAGAGGAATTAGGAAATAATATGATGAAATAAATTTGTATATTTAGTGATTTCAGCTGACCTAGGATTCTGATGGAATAGTATTTGCTAATCCTTATAAACCTATCCTTTCAAAATGGAATGACAGCCTTTCCCTGGGGCGTTCCAAATTTGCTGAACTCTCTTCCAACTTCAAATGGGACCTGAGGTCCAATCCAACTGGAGTACTTTGGCTGGTAATTCATCCTAACAATAGTAATAGCACTTAGACTTATATTCCATTCCACAGCACTTTACAGCACTCTCTGGGTGGTTTAAAATGTCAGCATATTGCCCCAAACAATCTGGGTCCTTCTTTTATCACCTCAGAAGGGTAAAAGGCTGAGTCAACCTTGAGCCCCATCAGGATCCAACTCCAGGCTGTGGACAGAATTTACCTGCAATACTACATTCTTAGCACTGTGCCAACAGAGCTCCTCATCATAAGTTATCATGCACATGTAGCATTCACAAATTATATATATCCAAAACATTTAGGGTGCTTTTCAAACTTTGTTTTGTTATTGATTAGATATTTTTGTTATGTACTATTTAAAAGGCAACATTATTCTATTTTTACCTTTGAAATTGCCTTTCAATGTTTGCTCCAGTGGCTCCAAATGGGTTAAAAACTTTAGACCAGGGGTGTCCAACCTTGGCAACTTTAAGCAAAGCTGGCTGGGGAATTCTGGGAGTTGAAGTCCTCCAGGCTTAAAGTTGCCAAGGTTGGACACCCCTGCTTTAGACCTTCCCTCTTTAGTAGCATTATTTATGTGGCCTTCAATGGCAAATATCTGTGGTCTCACTGCCTCCAAAGATGCTGTTTCTCCATGCTTTATTGTTCTATCACCAGTCAATCACTGTATCACTACTTTCATTGTTTTGCAGAGAAAATAAAGACATGTACATGTGGTTTCAGGACTCAAAGCAACCTTGAAAACAATGCAAGCAGAATTAAATGCAGTTAAGTGCAGTTAAAAGATAAAACAACCAACACTTAATCAGCTAGGAAGTCAGAACTTTCAAAATATACTAAGTTAGAACTTTATCCCAAAGTAATCCCTGATTTCAAACTGAGCAGAATCAAATACTAAATGACTCAGTCAAGGTAGAATCTTCCCAAACATGTAAAAGCTAATTGTATATACAGGCCTGTGCATGATTAATGTGTTTTCTTTGGCTTAGTCAGCTCAACTTGGGAGTGGAATTTGTGAATGGAGTCTGAGAAAGTTTCACAAGTAAGAATTACCTGTGTGACATCACCATTAAGCCTCTAGTTGAGAGGCAATAGATACTGGGAAATTAGGCTTGATCATTGTGCAAAAGATTTTTAGATTTTATCATTGACTCATTAAGGTGCAAGGACATAGATATGTTTGAAATTATTTTTAAAATACATTTTACAATTCATTTTTTAAAAAGCACCAACAAACATTTGGAGGGAAAAACAAGCAGACAAAATGAAATGCAGAAGCAATCTTGGTGTTACATGTCCTCATCTGACCCAATTTCAAGAATGAGATTCAGAGGAAAACTAAAATGAAATATATAGATCAAGGTAGGGGACACTTCCCTCTTTAGTGTTCTTTGAATCTACAGACCGCTCCTGGAGTTGACAAAACCATAGTTTAGACTAAGTTCTGAGATGACTTGGATTGGTTTCAGAGGAGATATTCAGCAGGTTCTGGCCACTTCTGGAGAACCAGTAGCGGAAATTTTGAGTAGTTTGGAGAACCGGTTAATTACCACCTCTGACTGGCCCCATCACTATCTGTTCTCTGCCTCTCAAATCCCAGCTGATCGGCTGGGTCTTTTGTTGCCCTGCACAGGAGAAGGGAGCTGGAAAGCAGATTAGTGGGGTGGGGGGAGGGAATTGAGATTCTATATTATCCTTCCCCTGCCACACCCAGCAAACCACACCCACAGAACTGGTAGTAAAAAAATTTGAATCCTACCACTGATTGGTTTTAAGGAATAAAACTAGCCATATTGGAACAATTTTTTTCACATAGAGAAATTTATTGGATCAGATGATGTTTCCTTAAAGTTCCCTTGAACTTCCACCAATCCAAGAAGTGGGCTGAAATATTGGCATCATTCGCAGCTAAACGTTGTTAAGATTTTGACTAAAATTGTGAAAATGAGGTTTGAGCCCACATTTAGCTATGAAAGCTCACGGGGGTTTTTTTTCAGCCCAATATACCCCACAAAGGTGTTATAGAGGAAAAATAGAGGGCAGAGTTCCACATACACTGCCATGAACCCCTAGCCATTATCAAATAAATATTAGAGACTTTAAAGACATATGACCTTGATATACTGTAGGTAAGTATGTGTGTATATATAACATTACATCTGCAAAGAGCAGGTTGGAAGCTGTTTTGCATTTCCCTTGTCTGGTAATTCTGTCTAGACTACCAGGATGATATTGCAATTTGTCATCCGCATATAACAACTGGAGTCCCACCAAGGCCTATCAGTCAAATATGACTCCCCCTCCCTTATTAAAATAATGTTTCATTTCATCTCTCCAAGAACATTGGACAGCCTGATCTAGATGCCATTGTAATTTTGCCACGATGACTTTAACATAGGTTCATTCATGGTCATGTTACTAAGCAGTGTTCTCGGGTGGAAGACAGTGTTCCCAAAAGGGCGTTTGATCAGCTCTGCACTTCACATCACACTTAGAATCCCTGATACCAGTTCTAGCCTTTTCATTAAATTGCAGCAGCAGTTGAATCTTTCTCACCATTCATAGTCTGAGTCATGGTGAAGAAGACAACAGGGACAGAAGCTGGATACTAACCTGGGAACAGGAACTTAGAAGCACAGTATCCATAATAAAATGAAATAAATAAATATCCTTTCCATTCATAAGAACAAATTTATGTTTTTGTATGTTTCCAGTTTGAAGAATTAGCACCACTGCTCTCTCCTTTTCTCCCTCTCTCCTCCCCCTATCTCTCTCTTTTAAAATCACTTGTCCAAGAACCAAGATACTGCTACACCCTTAAAAAGAATCCATATTGGAAACATCATAACAAGTCTAAGCAAATGATGTTAACAGAAATAATTGCTTGACAGGTTACAGCTTGTTTCTGATTTTTCATCCAATATATACATTGTTTCTAAGCTTTAAGGATGGATGCTGCAAAGAAAAACTTTGTATAGTTGTTCAAAATATTTGTGTTTGTGGAGCACAATCTGTAACAAAATGTAACAATTTTAGCACTCTCTCTTCAGGCCTCTCTCTAACTAGCCAAATACAGTTTACACAATCATAGTTAATCACAAATGGCTAGGCTTGAACAAAATTCCCAGTTTAAAATCCACCCACAAAACCCCAAGTTTATAAAATAATTCTGTGATTTACAGATGGGTTCAAAAATCCCATTACATCATTGTGGTTTGCATGGCTTCGGCTTCGTGTAATGTATGTTCTAAACCTAGATAAACTAGGGTTCCTGTATCTTGGCTATATAATTCCAAATAACTTTTTGATGGCAACAGAGTTCAGATTATCCCTTTGCGCCGTGATCCATCAACTGGATTTTTGAACCTCTGATATTGTAGCCCTTTTATGACTTTGAATATAGAATATAAACTTTTTGGTTTTTTGTAGGGTTTTTTGTCCAACACTTTTTAATTTTATTCATCCAGCAGCTATTTAAGTCTCGATATATCTTATTTTTTTGGCCTGCAAAAATGTGTTTGCCCACCTGTCAGTTCCCCACACTAATTGTACCAACTTTGTATGTACCAGTACCATAATCATAACAAGGATATCTTCAAGTGTATTCTACAGAAATGCATTCATGTAACTGCATGTACAAATTTATTTGCCAACACTATAATTGCCATCAATATATATATATTTGAATGTACTCTTTGGTTTGTATGATGTGCAAACCCTTTTTGGACATGAGATTTTATCACCGGTGTCAGGTAAAAAAGGAACAAAAGCCCAAGTCTAGAATGCATTTTTAAAAAAAAACTTATCTTTCTAAACCTCTCCCTTGTTTTCAGACCACTTTGATCATGATCACTTGATCATAATCAAGGAGAGAAGCAACCTAGAACTAAAGAGACCAGTAGAATAGCTTTGCCTTCAGAAATCGTGGGTGCTCCATCACTGGAGGCTTTTAAGAAGAAACTGGACAGTAACTTGTCTGGAATGGTATAGATCTTCTAGTCCAGGGGATTGGACAAGAAGACATCCAAGGTACCTTCCAACTCTATTATTCTGTTATAGTTTCACTTCTGTTTGTCCTTACAACAGGAGCAGGTATTAGTAACAAAACATGCCTTACTGGATGAACTTAAGATCTATTAGAACAGTGGTCCCCAACCTTTTTTGTGCCAGGGACCAGTTTCAAGCACAAACACCTTTTCAAGGACCGGGGGGCGGGAGAGAATCCGAGTTTGGTGGTTTGCTTGCAGACGTTTCATTACCTGACTAGGTAACATCTGATGTTGTTACCTAGTCGGGTAATAAAACGTCTGCCAGCAAACCACCAAGTTCAGGGAGCGCCTCGGCCCTGCCTCCCTCAGCCCCATCCCTCAGGTGTCTCCCTCCCTCCCTCAGGTGTCTGCCTCGTTCCTCTCTCAGTCGCTCTCTCGCTGCTCCACCAGCCCAGGAAGAAACTGATTCAAAGAAGCGGGGGGTGGCTTTTCCTGTCGCCGCAGCGCCTCCGAAGCGCCCATTTACCCCCACCCCCACCCCGCCCACCCGCCCGCGCTTCAATCCACAGTGCTCCGTTCTGCCTGCCTGCCTGCCTTTGTTTCGGAGCAGCTTTGGCTGACAAAAAGAGGCGAATAGTTATTATTCTCAGCCGAAGCTGCTCCCAAACAACCAAACAGGCAGGCAGGCAGAACGGAGCACTGAATTGAAG